GTCACTCTAAAAAACGGAAAAGAGTGTCCCTGTCATTCCCACCGTGACCCTGCATTTCCCAACACAACCGTTTTGGGTTTTCTTTTCCCGCGAAGGCATTCGCAGGGGCTCGTGGGCATGCCAAAGCAACAGGTAAGGCACAAGGCTAGGAGGTAGTTTTATTGACATGGTTTCATACGCATATTAAGTCAGTGTGCTTCATATCATCAAAAGTACGACATTTAAAAGTGTTTTCAAACAAAAGATGATTCATAACAAAATACAGAATGTAAAGCTAGCTTACTCCATCCACCCATCCATTTTCTGAACCGCTTTATCCTCACAAGGGTCGTGGGGCATGCCGGAGCATATCTTAGCTGTTTTCAAGCAGTAGGCGGGGGACACCCTGAACCTGTTGCCATTAAGTCGGCGTGCGTCATATCATCAAAAGTACGACATTTAAAAGCGCTTTCAAACAAAAGATGATTCATAACAAAATACAGAATGTAAAGCTATCTGACTCCATCCACTCATCCATTTTCTGAACCGCTTTATCCTCACAAGGATCGCGGGGCATGCCGGAGCATATCTTAGCTGTTTTCAAGCAGTAGGCGGGGGACACCCTGAACCTGTTGCCAGCCAATCGCAGGGCGCACAGAGACGAACAACCATCCGCGCTCACACCCACACGAAGGGACTATTTGGAGTGTTCAATCAGCCTGCCGTGCATGTTTTTGGAATGTGGGAGGAAACCGGAGTACCCGAAGAAAAACCACGCAGGCACGGGGAGAACATGCAAACTCCACACAGGAAGGCCGGAGCCGGGATTGAACCCACGATCTCTGCACTATGAGGCAGACGCGCTAACCACTGGACCAACGGGCTTCCGCTAGCTTACTCAACGAAAATACCGTACAGTGCACTCGGGGCTGAATTCACTTCTGTTTGCAGCTTCTTCCATTTGTGTGCGGCGTAACAACTAAATGCTGCTTCACCGTGTTTTGAACTCTTTGCAGACCCGAGTCTGCAAACCTCAGAGCCCTGCTAGGTTGATCTTGACTTTGGAAAGTAGATGCTATCACAAAAAGGAGATATCTATCAAAAAATTTTAACTCCTCCCAGGGGAAGCGTGCCTGTTGTAGCTGAGAATTCATCTGCGCTGCTTCATGCTTGATAGATGATGATAGATGGTAGCTGCTCTATTTTCTCAGCTCATGCTTGCTTGGACACAAAAAGTGGCAGCCAACGACATTTAATTGCGCAAAAACACGCCGGGTCACGACGACATGCGTCTTGCGTCGACGTTCGGTCGCATCATTCTCTGCACCAATCCGTCAAAACACTGACAGTGCCGCATAAGTCCGACGCTAAACGGTGGCTGTGATGTCTTGATCGGGTGTGTATTCTGTGTATTCGAATCATCTTTAGTGTTTTTAAAAATCTACCGGTGCCAGCCGCTTTCACCCTCCCAGTCTGATTTGCTGCTGTGTACACATGGCGTAGGCGCACACAGTGTCATCGGGAGAGTCCATTAAAAGACTCCTCTGTCATTCGTCGGATCTGCGGAACATGACAAGTACAAGCCTGCGGAAACGCATCACGGAGCCAAATGATCGTTGGACATCCTGAGAGCGTCACACATTGCCGGCAAAGTGAAAATGAACAAGAATGTTGTGTTTGTCAAAGTGGAACGTGCGAGGGCCAAATGGGGCATTGAGGTTACGCTGTGTGTGTGTGTGTGTGTGTGTGTGTGTGTGTGTGTGTGTGTGTGGTGCCCTATTGACGGGACGTTGAAGGGACATGCAGGAGGTCAACATAGATTTGATGTCAGTCGGGAACAAAAAAAAAAAAAATGAATTGCAAGAGTAGATTCTGACATCATGGCCAGTGACAAGAACGTCCTGGTGAAGCGAGGACGACATGAGAAGAAATGAAAGACGCTCCCGACTTGGGAGATGACTGACATCCAGTTCGCAGGGTCATTTTGTTTTTATCGCTGTTGTTGCCCCCCCAAAAAAATCACACTTGACAGAGATATTCGAAATGAAGGTGCTTTTTTTGGGTGGGGGCAGTTTCGAAGGATTTATTGCCTCAAATTTTATTTTCCCCCTTCCGCCAAAGAAAATGAGACTTTTTGTAGTCGATTTCTGCTTGCCGGGATCACTGAGGGGTGGGGTTGGCGCGGGGCAGCTTAGTACCCGAGCGCCGCCTACGGAGCGACACACTAAGTCGGCCAAAACGAGAGCGAGGGAGCAAGAGCGACGAGGCTGGCAAGCGGCAAGGACAAACCCCGGAAAGAATGGGGGCCGCTCCCACACTGGAGCGGTGGCGCGATATCGCAGTGAAACAAATTGAGATTAGCTTTTCCGTGAGCCGCCGAGGAGAAAAGCGGGTTGTAGCAAGAAGTGCGCCCTGGAGATTGGAGCGGGTAAAGTGCTTATTATTATTCGGAAGAGGAATCTTCTCCTTGGGACTTTTTTTTTCTTTTTTTCCCAACAGTTACTACATTCACATGCAGTCAAAATTCCGTTTAAGGTCAAAATTCCAGTTTGTGAAACGTTTGGAATCGCGACCGTTTACATGCGTGAGCAGACAGTTAACCCGCATTTGAATATCCCGATATAAACGGGGACGCACGAACGCCGTCAGCTCGACGTCGTTTCCGCTCGTTACTTTCTACTGTCAGTAAAACGCGTTGTATTCATGTCACTGGTCGGTTTCCTCCGCGCTCCAAAAGTGCGCCCCTTTGCCGCGTCGAAGAGTTTTGCCGTGATTGTTTACCTGTGCTTGTAAAATGTTCCTGCCAGTTGCCTGCCAGATGTACAAGTGCGTCCTGTACGACAAGGACTAAGATTTGGATAGTGCAAGAAGAGCATGCGCAGTACACAAACCGATACCTCATTAGAAAAAAGTAGCCCGATCGCGTTTCGATGAGCAAATAGTCAAGTTAGAAAAGGGGTAACCCAGGGGTCTTATTCGGGTCATATTACATTTTTGCGCGGGTTTACATGACCTTTAAAAACACAAATACTGCCAATATTTGAGTTTTAAAAGGGTTATTGACTGCATGTAAACGTAGTCACAGTTGACTTTGTTGTTGTCGTTTTTTTGGTTTTTTTTTGGATAGCCCGACCTTAATTACTTAACAATCATCAGATCTTTGAGTGGTCCCTTGATTATTTTTACTTTTTTTTTTTGTGCAAGTCAATTTGTTGTTTGCTTCAAATCTTTTGTTTTGGGGTTACGACTGAAAAACGTCCTATCCAAAATGAAATATATTAAGATCACATATTTCACACATATGTTGACCAGAATTAAAATTGGGTTAAAATCTGATTTTTGTCATGCATCTCGTTAAGAAGTTTATGGGCCCCTAGTAGCACTGATGAAAAATTGCGGCCCACTCCCAGCATTCAAATTGCCCATCCATTGTCTAGCTAGTGCAAAAAGAAAAAAAATACACAGACAGTTGAATGTGCAAAAATTCGGGCATTTGACGATTCAGATATTGCGGAGATATTGCACAGTGTAAACGTGTTGTGATAACTTGGAAATCATATCTTGATTGGTTGGTGGATTTGGGTAGATAGGTCGGTTGGTAAGTCGGTTGGTTGGTGCTGATCTACAATACATACTGCAGATTTAAATACGGGAGGCAATCTTTGGCAGTTATCCCTGCTGGGATTCCACATCCGTTAGTGTCGAGACGGTCTCTTCATATGGCATGATTGACAGCTGATCTACCCGGTAAGGCCCCACGTGGGAAGTGGGCACCCGAGGCTGACCGGCAGCTCTGCGCTACCAGTTTGGCAACGGAATGTCCTGATCGAATTCCGAGTCAATAACTAATCTAGTTGTTGCTTGTTGTCCACGCGGTCATCCGTGTGCACCGCATCCCGTGATGGAACACCCATCAGTCATTATCGGTTATTTGATACCAGTCCACTGTGGCTCGCTTCCCTGGAAGACCCTTTGAATGTGGCTCATTGGAATACTCCGCTGATAAGGAATAACACCGTGGCCCGTTTAAAGCCTCGGTAGATTGCATCCCGACATTTGGACGGGAGGTTTTGCGAGCACGACGGCTTTAGAGCACCTCGCTGTTGCGGTGGGACGACCCGGCGGGATAATTTCTCGCTGCCGGAGGCTTTCAATGGTGCGTGCGGATAGACTTGTATTTCCGCAGCTCGGAAATGTGGTTCGCTGCAGTCTTGCCGTACTTTCCTTCACTTTGTTACCTTGCTGATTACTTCAATGAGTAACTTAGAAAATATACTTTATTCGTTACTTTCAGCCGACAAACCCTCTTAATATCAAAGTGCTTTTGCCAATATTTAATTGGAAGTGCAGCTTTTTCCCAGGAATGTTCAAGAAAAAGGTTCTTATTAAAAATCTAATGGAAAATCAAAACTTTTTGATTGAACATAATAGTTTTATTTTAAATAATAGCCTTTGTAGACTTAACATAAATACATTATATGTAAGTGTCGGGAAGATGTGAAATGAAATAGCGTCCATTTTTCCGATTTGGAGAAAAGGTATTTGATTGACAGTTGAGCGGGGCGTGGTTTCAGCGCATTCAGCGGACACTTTTTTTTTTTAAGCGCTTTTTGTCATCATAGCGCAGAGGTGTACCTAATGTTGTGGCTATCGTGGAGGAAATAAAGGCTAACGAGGGGGGAGCTTCAAATCACCCCCAATTATTTTCCACTTTGCCCATAATGACGCTCGCTTTGATGTGCGAGCCATTACGCCGCCATAAATCTCCGCGGCGAGACTCTCCACTTTGCATTCTTCGAGTGCGGCGCAGCAGCTGCGGCAGCCGGCACGCAAAGGCGAGGAGCATCTGTTTTATGACGCCGCGCGTTTGAGTCCAAAACACATTTTTA